TGGGGAAAAGCTCTGCCTCAGAGGATGGTGGACAGGGAACAGTCTGCTCAGGGTAGTGGGCATGGCCCTGAGCAGCTGGAGTTTAAGAAGCATTCTGACAGTGCACTCAGACATATGGTTTGGATTTGGGATGGTGCTGTGTGGAGCCAGGGGTTGGACTCAATGATCCTTATGTGCCCCTTCCACCTCAGAACAGTTTATAGTTATATCATTTGATCCTTTTGGAAAAAGCAAGTACCTCAAGAAGGATCTGAGCAGGAGGCAGCAAAGCTCATGCTACACACGGGTTAGGAGCAAAAGCCATGAGCATTTGATTCCCCGACATCAATATCAGAGCTGTGCACTGCTGGAGCCACCCAGCAGTATAAATTTGGTCTGACTCAGACGTGGGCACATGATTGCAGTTCTGGTGAATTAGTCACTGTGCACTGTACTCTCTTATGCTGGCTCCGTGCTGGGGAGAAGGCCAGGGCAAGATGCACCGAGCTGACTCAACAAAAATTTCTGAACAAAGACCCAAAGCATTTTGGATCACACTTCAGGAGTCCTCAGCCCAGCTGCAAGCTATTGGCATCTCAATAACCCCATTAACTTGATCTGTTCCTGAGTTTTAGGAGGCAGGTTCCTAGCACCTGCAGAATAGAGAGCAGTGCCAAAACAGAGAGGAGAGGTCACCAGCACCGCAGCATCTAACAGCTGCCAGGCACAAAGGTCTGCAGAAGGTGGTTATAAGTAAAATAAGCATCTCCATTTGTAACACATAATCATAGCATTGATATCATGATTCCCATCCTCCTTCCATCCCACTCCATCACTTATCCTCATTGCTGGAAAAATGACTGCCAGGCTGTAAATGAAAAGCTCTAAATTGCAGCTCCCAGTAGCTCTTTCAATGCAGTGATCCAACACTACCATGCCATATCTGCCAGCTGCACTGTGTTTGGGGAATCTCAGGTTGATGATCTCAGGGTTAAGCCTCTGTGTCATTGCTGTCTCAGGTGCACCACTGTAACCACACTGGATGAAGCCCTGAACTTTCAAAGTTGGGGACACCAGGACACGAAGTATGTAGTCAATGTGCCAAAGCCTTTCAGGGTTCTGTTCATCATTAAACTACCTCATTTTGCTGCAGTATGGTGTACTCCTTGCTTATGTGAACAGCACTTTTAAGAGAAAGTTGCTAACATACACTGGTGGAGAGCACTGGAGCAGCCATTCTTTCTCATCCCCCTCCTCCATAGCACTACTGAGCTAGCTGTGATTTGATGCCTATCTCTTGACACAGAGAATATACATTTGAACACAGATGAATTCAACAAATATATATATATACACACACACATACATATACATTTATACATATACTTTTTTTTTCTTAAATGATATTCAGTCAGGTATAAATTCTGGAAGAAGTTAGCCCGAAAGCTTCAGAAACTGAAATAAAATGAAACCATAATTCAGTCAATTCAGTATTATGTAGTGCAGTGAAAAAACACTGTTTCCAAAGCCTGAATCTGCTGCCTTTTTATGATTTCTGTCTGTACTGGAGCCTTTAAATCCTCAAATAGACAATCTTGCCTGAATAGTAAAGTATATTAAGCCAAGTAAAGTTTGGTTTGGTTAGACAAGAGCAACACTCATTGAAATCAGACCTAGAGCAAAAGGAGGCCCTACAGACCATCTGCCCTGGCACTGACAACAACTTTTAATTCAAGGATTGATAAAATCTTCAATACAAATAGTTATTTGGAAGATTAACTCCATACTCAGTGGACCTGGACCCCTTAAAAGCATGAAACAACTCAGAAAACAGAACAGACATCTTTTTCCAAAGTATTTAGGTACCTGGAGGTGCCAGTATAGCTCTTATCTACCTCATGACACAGCTAAATACATCTGTAACTGTAATCTCCAGTCACTCTCAAAGTTTTAGAGGTGCACAGATGTCTAGGAGGTTTACAAAGTGCCTAGCTATTTAGTTCTCATTAAAACCAGTGATAGTTAGGGCTTCATGTAAAGCCACATCTATCTGCCTAATTAAAAAATTAGCATCTAAAACATCATGCACCTTGTTCAAACCAGTGAGGCTGGAGTTCCTGCAAGTTCTCCAAGCTATGCTTTAGTTTTCAGTGACAGTCCCCAGACAACCTGCAGGAGCACTGGTGAGGTGGTCAGAGAGCTTGGCAACAGGAGAGATTTGAGCCTGAATCAGCCTCCAGGCGCAGATTGTCCCTAGAAAATAGAAGCATTAAAATAGGGTGACATTAAAAATGATATTAAAATAAGTTAGGCCAGACCTTCACAACAACACATCAGTCATATCTCCACTGTTTATAGCAAGCTATGGGCTCACTTACACCATTTTAGAACACATTTTTCTTTAAACAGCAGCTTAAGATGAGTCGCCACTTCTAATTTAATCACTCTTCTTTAATGTATCTTGGTGCTTTGCATCTAGATAATTAACTTTGATATTCATTTGGTGACTTCGAGGCACAAGCTCCTTTTGCTGTCAACTGTCTGACAAGACAGAGCATGCACTGATAGAAGACCTTCATGTGACCCTGGCAATATTGCATTTTGGAAATTTCAGTAGCTAATATAATCAGCCTGCTGGAGAAAAGCTTTCATAAGTTACTCCAACAATTTGAGAATGGAAATTGTGACTGCAAATTTGTCACTGGAGTGATTTCCTAGAACGAAACAGATGTACATTGAAGTTTACCTAGTTTCTGTTCTCATCGTACTGCTCCTTTCTAAAACAATCCTCTAGAAAACTGGCAAACCTTTTATTGTGGTCTTGCACCGCAGTTGCCTTGATCCCAGGCAGGACACACAGAAGTTACCATACATTCTAAAGTAATGTAAGTCTAATAGCCTAATAGCCAATAAATAAATGATCATTACAAAATATTTTTATATTTTCTGTATGAAATATATATAAAATATTTTTTAGGTATGAGGTGGCATAATAAATACAGCAATACAAAGATGGGACAGAAGGGGAGGGCCAAATTCTTTGCATTTATAATGAAAGGTTACATTCTACTGGTAACAAGATTAAATTGGTGAGCAGCAAAAAGTTTGAATCAAATTCTTATTATCCCACAGTGGATCACCTTCTGCTAGTACATGCTCTAACCCTGGAATCAGTCAAACATTCACATCAAGAAATGAACACACAGGACTTCTAAAACAGTCAGGATAATCAAGAGAAAAAAGAATTGGCTCAGACACAGCTACTTTCCTTTTTAAATACTGTTCTTCCATGTCACTGAGTATGGGAGCTAATGGCATAACTTAAACATTCTTGAAGCAAGAGCCAAGAGCAGCCCAAGCCCCTTTGAGGTAAGAAACTGGAGTGTAGTGAATGAGGAACAGCTGAATCTCAACTGAATCCTTTTTCATAGGCTAGCTAAAGCGTTCCATGGCTCTGCTTAGTGTGAGATTAACAGAACATAGCAAAAAAGTAGAAATAAAGATGTACTGATGTGTTGCACTTTTCCTTAAGTTTGAGAATGAGATCAAGATTTGAGTGTTTGAAATATTTTAACAGTGGAAAAAATACTGACTACTCCATTTTCTACACAGGGACAACATTACGAAGAAGAAAAGCGGGCTTTGAGCCATGAAATAATTGCACTTAATAATCACTTAATTGAGGCCAAGGTGACAATAGATAAGTTGTCAGAAGACAATGTAAGTATTTAATTATGAATATATCTTGAGATTATGCTCACTAATAAATTACGCTACACACTTCCTATGCAATTATAGGAATTTCTTATTGCTTACATTAAATGTAACTGCCACCTCTATAGTTAAAATCCTTATCTGATGCTCCTGCCATTTTGTAATTCTGACTGTTCTCTGGTTACAGAAACTTCACTGATTATTTTTCCCTTGTCTAACCTAAAACTGATGAGAAATTTATTCCAAGAATAAATTAGTTTACCATAGGTTCCAATATAGCAGACTGGTAGAAGCATCTTCAGACATGAAGTGTGGACGTGTCTTCATCGCAGATTCTTCACAAAGCCTGTAGGCACAGGATAGAATACTCCATTTCCCACAGTTTCTGTGATCTTTTAGTCTTTGCTCATTGACATGGAATGCCCAGAATAAGCGAGCTCTATGATTCATAGGTAGGACTGATGCAGCCTGGTTACTCAGATAGTCAGGTTTTCCCCAGCTATGGTTCACACTTTCCCTTTCTCTGTGTGAAATTAAATATTTTGTGATTGTCATCTTGCATCTCAGTAAACATTACAGGAATCATGCATGTGTTCTGCAATTGGCAACAAAACTCATTAAAATCCTTCCATGACCAAACCTAACAAAGTCAGTAAAGAAACATTTAGTTCATTATTTTGTCATTCTTAGACATTCAGTAAAAAAAAAAAAAAAAAAAAAAAAAAAAAAAAAAAAGAAAAAAAAACCAGAAAAATCACCTACAGAAGATGTTTTTGTTATTGCTCATTCTTCAACATACTCTCTTCCCATATGTCGTATGAAATTCCTAATCATAGCAGAAGGCAACTGATCCCATTAATTGTTGATGTGAATTATGATAAATTCATTAACCACTTTCCAGGTGGAAACAGAGTTCACAATCTGATCTCCTTTTACAGAAACTGTGTTGGAACAGCCATTGCTTCATAACTCTAATATCTATAGCTAAATGAACCTGATAAATGCAATGGGCTAACTTTAGGTTCAAGAAGCACAAATTCAAGTCTGGACTAATTCCAGCTGAAATAAGTGGAGTTATTTCACATTTGGAAATGGAAAGAAAAAAAATGGAAAGATGGAAAGAATGGAAAGAAAAATGGAAAGAAACAGGGAAGTTTTCCCAATATCTATTAATGCATTTACTATTACTTCATGAAGTCAGATTTAAGTCTACATTTGAAGAAGAATTTTCAATATTGATAGTTTTTAAAAGGTAGCTCAGACTGATCCAGAATAGAGTATACTCTTCCTCAAAGACAGAATTATCGTGAAACACAGTGATTATTATTTTACAGCCCAGGAACATTAAAAAAACAGTACTACTTCTTCACAATTCATCTCAATTCACAGCAAAAAATTCTACCCTTCGATATGCAGCATCATTAATGAAAGTAAAATTCCAGTGTTCAAAATAAAGAACTACAAAACAGTCATTTAAAATCATGCAAGAATAGACTGTGTCAAAGTGAATACTCCAATCTGAGGAGAATATGCATTTTTCTTGCCAATATTTCTTCCTCCTACAGCTTCCTCCAACCATATTTCCCCCTGTCCCTTTGATGGACATGTAAAATTATACTTTTTGGTGCAAAAATATATTTTGGATCATGAAAAAGCTTGTGGAATTTAGTGTTGATTACTGTTCTAGATGCCATAGATGTGGCTCATCACCACCTAGGTAAATAGGCATAAAGTCACTCCAGCCACACAGCATGTCACTGCATACTGAGAACACAATACTGAGAACTAGTTGGATGTGGCACATCCAACTAGTAAGAAATTTTTTGTAGTAATTTTTGAAGTAGCTAAAAGTAGAATCAGAAATGCTTTTCGTACTCCATGGCAACCACTTCACAGAACCAGAGCCTCGCTGCTTTCAAAGAAAGGATTCAATTCTGGAATGACTTCATTATCATGTGGAGGACTTGTCTATGCTATACATTGTACAGCAAAACTGTATGTGCTTAATGTGCCTGTAACACATCAGAACCAAGCACACATGCAACAGATTTTGCTTCCAAATTAAATTCTTGGATTCCTAGTATTTGCATCTGTTTTCAGGAATAAAGATAGCGTGTACCAACATGAAATGTAAGACTTACATAAATGAAATCTATCTCCTTTGTAAATTTAAGGCAGAAAACATCATGTACAGAGCTCACACAGACACAGATGCACAGACACCTATATAAAAGTATCTAAGGACCCTTAAAGAAAAAGGTATAAATCAACTAATGATCACAGATAAAGTACTTTTACTGGCCACATACCTCGTGGACTCCCAGCAACACTTTATTGAACACCTTATTACAGAATACCTTTAAACAGAGGGAATTTCCACTTTTCCTTTTAACAGAAACCTATCAGTTTTTACAGAAACAAGTGGAACGGTAAAACTCTGCATGTGTCGATATAAGATTAGCAGCAGAAGAAACTCAAATAATTTCAATATTCAACATTTTTTCCTTACAAATCTGTTCTTGTTTTCACAGACTAATAATAGTGGCCGAAGTGGTCAATGTTTTTTCATTTGTCTAATTGCCACACATGAAGTCGATTTGGAAGTCAGCTTAGTTTTTAATGGCACCTTGAGCAAAAGCAACATTTAATTCTTACCTACAAGGACCCAAAGATAATGGTTGAAGGATACAGTTACAATCATATGTCTTAAACTAAATTAACATGAAAAATGAGCTGAGGGCACATCTCTGTACAGAATTTTCCCATTAAACACACTGTGGGAACCATTCAATACAAATTAGTTCAAGCATCATGTTTAAATTTGCTTTTTCTCTTTCTGAAATTCTCACGATAGTTTCTGATCCGATAAAAAAAAAAAATGATATTCTGTAGCACAGTATGTTTGTAGTGAAATTTAAGTCATATTCTAGAAGATAAGTGGAGAGCCAAGAACCAGCAAGAAAATTTCATGAGACAAAGGATATTTAAAACAAAAAAAAACAAAAAGCAATATGTATGAATATGAATTTCTCCCACAGTCTCTTAAGACTCTTTCAGCAGTTTTTCTAAAGTAGTATCTCAGTGCTGATCTGCATAACACTCAGTAAAAATCATCTGCTCTTCAATTTTCTTTCTGCTTAAAATATTATGTTTATTTTCACCCTCATAGTTCCATGCATGTTAAAAGTACAAAGCCAAGATCCTAATGGTAAGTATTCATCTTCTGAAATGCAGATAGCTGCTGCATAGCTACAGTGTTTAATTTTTGGTAATTTATCAACCCTCACAGAGCAAAGGAACAAACTTCTCAACATCACACAAGAAATACAGAGTCTTAATGTGTTTAGAAGTTGAAGTATGCTCCAAACTTCCCCAGAGTCCTACTCTGAAACATTTATCAGGCATGGGTGAAAGCCACAAGTTTGCAAACTTGAAAAAAAAAAAAAGAAAAAAAAAAAAAAAGGCTATTTTTTTTCTATTTTTTTTCCTATTTTTTGTGTGTGTGTGTTTCTCCAGGAGCTCTATAGGAAGGACTGCAATTTAGCTGCTCAATTGCTCCAGTGCAGCAAGAATTACGAGAGGGCACATAAACTTTCTGAGGTAATGTGACTAAACCTGATGAATATTTGAAGAAATAAATATTACATGGAAAACTGGCTGTTTTATCACTTCCAGAATTTGTTTACCCCTTAGGCTTTGATTTCTTTTTTTTTTTTTTTTCACCCTTTAAGCAGCCCTGGGGGTTTTGTGCACCTGCTGCTATTCTGTGTAGCTGGGGAGGTGCTGACAAAATCAGTCAGTAATGGAACTTGAAGATACTCTCTGCTATCCAATACAATGCTTCTCGGCTGAACGTGTTAAATAGTAAAGGCTTTCACAAAACCAAAATGGTGAGAAATCTAGGCTGCAAAATATTGGGGTTTGTGGAAGGAGTGGGGACATAGTAGGATACAATCAATTTTCTTCGTCAAGTTATTTTCCAGTCCAGTTAATTCTAAACCTGAATCTTAAAACAGACTGGCAAACATCTTTTCTAAAGCAACCATAGCACTGCTAATTGAATTCCAAGGTAAAAACTTTAATTAATATTCTTGACTTCCAAGGAAACTGACATGAGAAAGAGACTCCTTAAAGGGGAGGCAAATGTGTCAATCAACAAGGCAGTCTTTGGAGATGCAGGATCTTCCTCAAAGCAATAACACCTTCCTCATGTATATTGGTTTGTTGAAGGTCACAGAGGAAAAACCTTCCCTTGATCACTCTCATCAGGTAACTCATCCCCAAGAACGGCCCCTTTTGTGCAATTCTGTGACAGAATAATGCAAAACCAAATGTCAGCCATTTCTAAGCCACTAGACTGAATAACTAGACAAATCTGACAAGGACTGATCAACATTCTTTCATCACATGGACAGTGATGTCCTCTATCTGAAGCAAAACTTCCAAATTTACCAATATTCCGATCCCATTCTTTTTCCTAATGGCTGACTTCATTTAACATTTCATATCTAGGAGTCATCATTACATTACTCATACCAAAATCCTCCTACCTGTTAGTAAGAATTAGGATCACAAAGGTATTTAGCAGCTCTCTCACAGAGAGCCATCACTGACTGGAATCTCCCCACAATTTCACAGACTATTATACACTTAATGAAATGGGCAGTCTTCACTCTCAACTCAGAGTATTTATTAATATACTGAGTGTAAATATTGTCACAGTCAATAAATTCCTCACAAGCACAAATATTGCCACAAAAAGTGTTGCATGTTACCAGGAAACCTGAACTACTGAACAAAATATTAATGACAGCAATATAGTTTTTGTATTGCCAGCTTCCACTACTGTAAGAAAAATATTATTTATTTTAATAATTTTCCAAATATAAATAATGTATACAAAATAGACCCAATAGTTTTGTTAAAGGAAACTAAATATTAGCTGCCATATACAGCAATTTCACATTAAATGAACTATATTTCTTCTCCTCGCTTTCATGGCTATTTACAGCAGCCTTATTTATTTACTCTTTATTCAATCTTTTTTGCATCTATACTTACTATGACTAATATTTCTGTTTGCCAGCAGATTGGCAATCTTATACTCTTTATTTCCAGTGGAAGATGTATGAGCTAATTATCAACATAATGATTAATCCAATATATCATAGAAAAAAACACTCATCCTACTCCGCAGTAACAAGAATGTCATTTCACAATATATCATATTTCAAATACACTGAATTTGGGGCATTAAAATATCTTCAAGCATTTAGTTAATATAGAAACCCCATACCTTATATACCATGTGAGATCACTAGAAGCGGTAGACAACTTGAATTCTTCTTGCCTAAAGAGAGGCGCAGAGGGCAACCATCTCAATATTTTTAGGGCTGTCTCCTCTAAAGAAACAAAGTTAAGGAGTGTGTTTGAAAGTTGTGGCTAAAAGTGCAACCACTGGTTATTTGGTAAAGAGAAACTTGATTTCTACATAAAAGAAAAAGTTAGATCTGAGAAGATTCCAATCAACAATTCAGGGGCTATTTTCTTAAGTGGCATAAACCAATATAGATATTGAAGTAGCTAACCCAAAAAGTTACTAACCCAGATACAAACTTAGCCCAAACATGAGCTCCATGGACATTCAGCAAGAAGAACTGTGTCAGCTATTGTGCAGCACTCTTTATGAAGGATCAGCAGTGCAGATTTTAAGTGAGCAAGGCCAAATATATATATATATATATATATATATATATATATGCCTGTATTACATTTAAATATTTATAATTTAAATATTACATTATTAATTTACCTGCTGGGTTTTTTGAGATACACCCTACAAAGTGTTCTGTCCCAGAACATTTCTCCAGAAATGGTCAGTCTTTGATGCACAGGAGATTTGTTGAATAATTTTGAGTCATTCGCCAAAGGAGTCATAGTGCATCTTTGGGTCATAGCTCTTATTTTAGCTGGTGTAGTAAGAAACCCAAAATGAAGCCAACAGCAGCTGCTGGCAGAGGAGGTTTATAAGGTTTGTCGATCTGACAAGTAGTGGTCCGATTGCTGGGACAAGGTAGCTGTTCATTTGCTTCTTTTCCCAGCACAGAAACACTCTTGTCATAGCAAGAAGTACCATTGCTTTCAGTGAAACCAACTTTCCCATCTCTTCAAATAACGTCACTTATTGTGATACGAAGTGCAGGAGCCAATTTGGCAGTGGGCTGGAGGCAAGAGGAGCGCAAAGAAGGCCGTAAGAACACAATATATATAATCTCTTCTTCTTTCCTCATCTCAGCAGAGACCTCCACACCCCATCTTCAAATCACACACATTGACAGACTGTCTGGAAAGTGTTGCTGTAGGCTCTAATTCCCTACGTGCCTCTTTAACGTGGTTGTTTACTCTGTTGTTTAGATTGTTTTGATCCAGCTAGAATTAATTTGGAAGGAATCATCTCAGTTTCATAAGAGAAGCAGATAAACACTTCTAAATGCTAAGTAAATAAATGAAATTCATCTGATTACATTTGTTTTCAGAAATGCACAGAGACTGTGGCCTTCACATTAGTCAAAGAACCATATCTGGTGAGCTACATAATATCATAAACTGCACTCATATGTCAATGCTGCATAAACCCAAACAGATACCAGTACTGATATGCATCCTTTTCTCCTATCCCCTCTGCTATCTCTTTATGTTACAGTTGCCATCTGACTTTCAGGAAAGAGTCAGCATCCATCTGGAAAAACATGGGTGCAGCCTTTCTGTCCCCTTGTGCCGCACATCTTACGCTGATACCATACCCACCTGTGTCATCGCCAAAGTACTGGAGAAACCAGATCCAAACAGCTTGTCTTCACACTTGTCAAGCCCCTCTACAAGGGATCTCAATTTTCAGGACTCTGCTGGAAAACTTGGGCAGAGGCCTCAGTACAAGTCAGACATCTACTGCAGCGACACCGCTCTGTACTGCCCCGAGGAGAGGAGGAGGGAGAGGAGACCGAGTGTGGACACACAAGTGAAAGACGTGGGGTTCCTGCGGTCCCAGAACTCTACAGACAGTACTGTTGAAGAAGATGGCTTCCATTCCAGCTTCTCTCACGAAGCCTTCCCAGAGTACATTACCTCTTTGCCAACCTCCAGCTCCTATTCTAGCTTCAGCGTCACATCTGAAGAGAAGGAGAACGCCCAAGCCAACACTATGACAGCCTCCCAGCAAGCAATCTACATGAGCAACCGAGATGAACTGTTCGAAAGAAAGTCACCTGCAGGTTACGAGCATCAGGGAAGCCCAAGGTTTGCCAAGTCAAAACCTGCACAGCACATGGAGCTTGCTGATGACAATGAGAACTCCCCCACGTTTACTCGGACTCTGCCTCCTTATGCAAATGAACCTTTTCATTTCTCAGCCATAACACCACAGCAGGCTTTAGCAAATCAAAAAATGAGGAATGAGTGCAGGAGCACCAACCTTTCAGAAGAAGACTTACCTGGGCGATGGAGGCAGTTGAGTGTGGAGGACATTGGTGCATACTCTTACAGGAACACTGGCAGGCTATCACCCTGCAGCTTTTCAGAGCAGTATTACAGCAGCCCTATGAAAACAGGAGACAGTCGAACAAGTCCCATCTATGCTAGTTACAAAGCAGATAGCTGCTCAGAGGGAGATGATATCTGCCAAAGCAGACTTGTGGATTCTTGCTTCCTGAGAACAGACAGTGGCCTGAACATTGACATCAGCACTAGCTGTAAACAGGACAAGCTGCCCACTTACAAAACAAAAGAATTAAGAGACCAAAAAAATGAAAGGATCACTGTCCAGTTATGCAGTAGCAAAAACATCGAAAATAGCCCGGTGTTGAAAAGAGAATATGTGGACGTGAGCCCCAACAGCTCTGCAGAGTCCCTCAATCACAGTTCAATAGAGGCTTCAGAAATCCACCAGTCTTCCATGGAGCAAGGAAGCCATTCGAGCATTCACAGCAAACAGCAGCAGTTTCAGCGGACTGGGAGTACTGGTTTGAGCCGGAAGGACAGCCTTACAAAAGCACAACTATATGGAACCCTTCTGAATTAGGCATCTTCCAGAACTGCAATAAGACCACAAGCAAAGGAAAGCAAACCACGTTTGATACTTCTTGTGAGCGTAAGGTTTAAGAAATGGATTATAAAATATATATTCATAATGGTACTATATGTTTGAAATGAAATCTCTCCAAAAATGTTATACAGCACTTTTCACTTAACATCCTTTCCACATGGGAGACCGTTCCCTCCCCTCTTTTATAAACCTGAAATATTTTTATAAACAAAATGGTATTTATTAGACTATCCTAAGATATTTGAGCAGAATTCTTTTCCCTTCAAGCAAGTTTCTTATTTATTTTTGTGCATGAGGCCATCTGTGCCTAAACTCCTGGAGGAAAAGGGTAAAATCATGATGATGGAAGTGAAAAAAAAAAAATCAATCCACCTGATAAAATACCATAAACTTCATGTGAAAAAAAAAAAAAGCAAAACTGAAAAGAATGGTGAATTTGAAAAAGTATATTTTTTAAAAAGAATGGAATTGTATCTTAAATTATTTCATACAAATGTATTTATGAGTGACTAATGTATGCACAAAGTGATACCAATATTTTGTTCTTTTAATCCACTGTGTTTCTGCTTTCCTATTTTTCCTTGTATACTACCTCAAAAGTAATTGAGGGTTTCTTTGTCACGTTTTCTGTAGGCTTGCATTTATATTGTCTAAAATGCATGCAGTGTCATAATTAATACTGTATTTTGCATTACTTAATAAAAGACACCAGTGGAGATATTTTGTTGGGTTCTTTATCCTTTGTTAAAACATACCCTGGACAACAGTGTGTTCTGGATATTAACAGTCCAGTAAACGTTGATGAAAAAAGCTCCTACTTACGTTGCTCTCCAAAGGACCTGTCTAAACCACAGAGCAATGGTTCTCAGCCTTTGACTCCTGGAATTGTAAGGACTGCTTCTCATCAGCTTTGGAAGGTAAACAAAGAAAACAAACCAGTTGTCAATAGCTTTAAATTCACTGGGAAAGGCTCTCCATATTCTAAAAAAAACTTGAAAACTGTGTAAAAGTTGTGACAAAAGTTGTGACTAAACCTCCTTCTCTATTATGTATGTAGCTGGCACAACTCTTCAGGTCTTTAGAACTGTTATTTTCCACAATTGTCCTTTTTCATACATATTTCAAACACAGACATTTTTCTAAGATTTAAGTAAAGTCTAACCTTCTGCAGCCCATACCAATTTCAACCTCAACACTGAGAAGCCATACTTCTACCTGTAGTTTTTGTGTTCCCTCCACAGTTTCCTGTTCCTCACCATTCCATCACTAGGGAGCGTACAACTTGAGCAGTCACAGAAGGGAGAGAAAAAAAGAGGAAAGAAAAACAGAAAGAGGGAAGGAAAAATCCTGTGGACTTCTTTTATGGCTTCAGTGCAGCTGCCTGGTAAGAGGCAGAATACAGCAGTAAATGCTAAATCATTCCTATAAGTCATATTCATTAAACATGTATCCTGTACTTGAAATATTGACTCTGACAGGTACTGGTGTGGAGAAGGATCTTACATAGTGCAATAAGTGGTAGTAAATCAGTAAAATCACTGTGGAAATCTGAAAATCTAGTACCTATAAAGCTAAAATGATGTTATCATTCATTATATATTAGGAAAAAAAAAACCTCTGTTCTCTGCCAATTCTCTGAATATAGCCATTTGTCAAGTTACTATGAACCAGGACACTAAAACTGCTCACTTTTACATAAATGTCTTAACTCACAGAGTTTCAATTCATTTGGCATCAATATTTCCCACTGTTTCACATACAGTTTACTCACGTTCTTCATGAGTAACATAAAAACGTGACCACTATTTATACACGCAAGTACATTCTGTGCTATTTGGAAGACCAGGCACTAAGTTCTTACAGTTCCTCAGAGACCTGTACCACTGCTGAGGAGAACAATGGTAGTTAATAATATCACACAGGTAAGCCACAACAGAAGGTTGAAGTCAGGCTTATTTCTGTAAGAAAGCTATTATGCACCTTGCTCTTTTATGCTCTCACACAGCTTTTGGGGCAGGTTGCACCACACATAAAGCCACTGAAATCAATAGGGAAAAATATATAGAGCACCATATTATTTCCCAAATACCAACTATTTCTATGGTAGAATCTGACCTGCACTAAATAGAAAACGAAGGTCCAGAGAATCTGCTACCTCCCCTTCAAAACACTCAATGTTGACTCACTCAGGTTCCTAAAATTTAGGCAGTCTAAGGCAAGATATTCATTTCTTTGGTCAATGAATATATGGATCTGTATGCAAGGTGAAAATTAACTTTTATCTCACCTTAAAAATATATAAGCTATGGAAAAATAACTCCTGATATTTATGAAAAGAATCACACTATCAGACTGATCCTTTCTATAATTTAATTCATCATCTGATATTAAACTGCTATTTTGTTAATTGTACACAACTTTTTCTAGGTATTACAGATCTGATTATTTAATATGCTGTTATGTTATCTTTTCTTCTGTTGCAGTTTCAAAGCCTGTTTCTATGCTTCACTTCATTCTCTTTCTCAGATTATGTGGATTAATATGCAAATTCAAAGCAGACTTTTCAGCCAATTAGTACAGAGTTTTTCTTATAAAATAGCCTAAAACCCTTTAACATTTTTACAGTACAGAACAATCTGCAACCCTGGAATGAAGTTCAATCAAAGGGATCAAAATAGCTAGTTACCCAACTTTAATGCACTGATTATTTTAAAAACTCCTTTAAATCAGAACAACTGACAGTCAGTTTGCATATTTTTAATGAATGCAAGAGAAAAAAATAAAAATTGAAATAATTTTTCTCAGATTTACTGGTTTGAAAATTGTTAATTTTGTGTTGTTGTTTTTTGTTTTTTTTTCTCTACCCAAGAAATTTTCAAAGATTATATTAAAGGATTCTGTCTTTATTTTGGTACATTCTGCTTTGATTTCTTGAGACAACTACAGAGACCAGAGGTGGGAGGCTAGGAAGATACAAAGTATTTCACAAGCAATTTCAATTTCCTGTATGGAATGCTTTAATTCTATGCCTACTTTCAGTTTTCACATTGAGAGCGAGTCATTCAAAAATCCTGTCATGGAGCCGATTACAGGAATATATAGTCAGAGATATTTAAGACTGGCTACTTGGATTTCTGTATGTTTTCTCTCCAAACTAAGTTCTTCCCTCACATGGTTCCCTGTGGCTTTAGAATGGCTCTTCTAGCACCAGGCAAAATCTCAAGCATGGATTTAAAAATCACTGAAGATTTAGGAGCCTAACTCTGGTTAAGAACAGAAGAGATGGGAGAGCAAATCAATAACGTCTTGTTCAGAAGGATTTGTACTTTCTTTCAAGTGGAATGGACATGATTAAAGCAGTGCTTTCAAAGAACTTACATTCTATAGGACTTTTATGATGAAAGGGACATCCAAAACATTGTTCTCAGAATATCTTACTTCCATTTCTCATTTAAGCAAGTCCAGTCTGATGAACTCGATATTGCTCTGACTGTAACTCCAGAAAAACAAAACAACTGATCTTCATTTAAAGAAAAATCCCCAGATTCCTGCAGCTGAGAATTTGCCTCAAAATAGCTTGTCCAAAGGATATAAAAGTCTGATTTTCTCTCAAGCATTATAAAACTGCTAAAGTATCTCCATGTTACATCAAAACCTCACTTTTAACAGTGATGACAAAGCATTCAAATTCTATATGCAGGGCTTGTAGTTATCCAGAACAGGATTTTTGCTTTGTTCGATTATTACATTTGCCATGAGTAAAAGCAGAGAAGGTGAGGAAAATAAGTGGCAACTACTCAACAGTGCAGTGAAGCAGAAGATATGAAACATCATTTTAATGAGAGCAATGTGATACCAAAGAGTACACGACACAGGACACTGCTCACAGAAACACAACAGAGGTTGAAAGATCAGAGTGAGGAATGGCAAATCACATCACAAAAACAGATAAGAATTCAAAAGTGGGAAATAGGGTACAGTTCACTAGGAAACAATGTTATATAAGTGTTAGGAAATTAAAAGGCGCAAATGCATTTTTTAAGATGTGAGAATATTTTTCTCACTCCAAATTAAGGTTAAAATGAATCAAATTCTCAATAAATGTGAATCACAAATATCTCTTCCTTTTAAACTTTTTAGAACCCTATAAATAGCTGTATTTTTAATGTCTAAATCATGGCAAACCCCAAAATACGTAGTTTTCAATTCAACAGTTTCTAAATTCTACTCCCAAACTAGAAAATGCATCATGTTAATCTTTGCCCTTTCCAGCACTTTTAATTAAAAAGAATTTCCACTCAAAAATCTGTCACGGGACATGATTATACAGCTGCTAAAATTGATTTCTTCTACTTTAATTTTAATGTACTAATTTACATCCTTTGGACTTTCTTATAGAATTATTCTTCCCCACTCACATTTACAACCTTGTAATTCTTACAGACCCTTATGATATCTCTCCTTAAATACTGCTTAAATTGTGTAGGTGTAGTCCAGTCATTTTTCTTTGGAAGACACTCCATTCAGATCTCTAATTCATTTAAATTCTTTTCAAGAAGCATCTTTTTCAGTTTTCTACAACTGGAGTGTTTTAATATGAACACTGAGCTGGGTCAAACATTGGATTCAAACCCACTGAACAAAGAAAGAAAGAAGAGAAATATGCAGATCAGAGTGACTGGATCTTTTTTCCCAGAGCTGATATTCTCAATAACAACAGGTAGTTGGACAGAAATTTTCTCACTAAAATAAAATTTATTTTTCACATGGCCAAAATGCAAGTTTGCATTTTGATGAAGAGTGAGTCTGGCCATGTTTCTAGAGTTGAACCTTGTTTCCTGAAAATGAGTGCGTTGAAAAGAAAGGATTTCTCCTATACTTCCCTTTTTCAGCACTTGCACAGAAGCATGCTGGATGATCCTAAAGAGCATTGGGTTTTCTTATGATAGACTTGAGTCGAGTGGAATCTGTTTTTATTCTCCTTCTTTCATTCTTCTCAATCCTGACAGGATTGAGAAACTATTTTCAGCAATACTCACTTCAATTTGTGTATTTTCAAGCTTTATATGGTTTCAATTGCAGGTTTGTCAGACTCCAGTATCCCTCTTACAGTCAGCAGATCTGGAAGTGCCTTAGTACCAAATTTTCTGTGCCTGTGAGTCATAGAATCATAGAATCACCAAGGTTGGAAAAGACCTAAAAGATCATCCAGTCCAACCGTTCACCTATTCCCAATAGCTCCCACTAAACCATGTCCCTCAACACAACGTCCAGCCTTTCCTTGAACACCCCCAGGCTCGGTGACTCCACCACCTCCCTGGGCAGTCCATTCCAGTGCCTGACCACCCTATCTGAAAAGTAATACTTCTTCATGTCCAGCCTGAATCTCCCCTGCCGTAGCTTGAATAGCTGTGATAGTCACCTATCACAGTTTAATTTTCAGCCTTAAAATTCTAAATCAATTTTTAGGAAAGGGCTAAGGTACTTTCAAATGTGCCCAGGATCTGCCAGTTTTCAACATAAGCACTAACTCCTGGTGACCATGAGCAGGATTAGGCATTAGGCAGGATGATCTGCTTAGATTAAATCTTGGCATGATCCTGTATGTATGGTGTTACATCAATGTTATCAGGAGAAATTCATTGTTGTCTCAGTTTTTCTTCCATAACTTTTTTTAAAAGTCTCATTGTTATTAAGCAACGTTAC